TGAAACTGGTCTAACTAGAGAAGGTAAGATGAAAACCTAATACTAGAAACTATTTACAATGGGGACCAGCAGATGGTATACTGGTTAAGTTGCTGGTCTCCCATGTAGTCGACCTTGGTTTGAGTCCCAGACCTGGCAGCTTAAAACTCACACCAGGTGCGTCTGAGTATGTGCCCAAAATCCCAAGAGGAGAATGGAGGAGAAGAAACTGTGGTGTGGTCACCCCTCCAGGGGTGATTTCTCACTTTCTGTCTCTGGCGAGCACACATGCCCTATAGCAAAATCTCTCTTTCAAAACAAAACAATCATAATGAAGTACACATTTTTAAAAAAAGGGCTAAAAATAATGATCAGAGATTCAGTGACCTGTGGAACATGATCAATATTTAATATATGCATAAATGTATTCCCCAAAAATTAGAGGGAAAATGTTGGAAGAAATAACTTACCAAAATTTCATGTAAAATACTAAAACATAAATCTAAGATGGCAAATGAGCTCCACTAAGACATGCCATGAAAACCACACCGAAACACATTATAACCATCTTTTAAAAACACTGATACAGAGTTAGAAGTAGAACAAAGTTGATTTCCTGTCAGTAACAATACAAACCAAATGACAAGGGAATGTTTTCTTTCTTCCTTTCTTTCTCTCTTTCTTCCTTTTTCTTTTGTTTTTTTTTTCAAATCCCTTCTCTTCCTTTCACCTCCTGGGATCTTCCGCATGCACACACACTTGCCCAGCGTTAAGTTTCAATCCACTGGGTACAGGATTTGAACCACAGTCAACAATGTGGGAGTCCAGTGACATAACTGCTACACTATCTACTAGCTCCATGGTAATGTTATCTTTAAAGTGCTCAGACAAAATCCTAAAAACCTGCAATTTTATATCCATCAAAAATGCCATTCGAACATGAAGGGAAAATTTAAAATTTCAGGAAAATAAAAGCTGAAATTCAACCACATCATTAATTACATAAAGTGTAAAACGGTCTTAAAAAACTTTTTTCTTTGTTATACATTGTCAGAGGCCACATAGGCTCAGAGAGAGAGAGAGATTGTGAGAGAGAGGGAAAGGATAGGGAGGAAGCACCACCCAGTGAGGTGTAGTCATGCCACAATCCCTTCTCTATTTTTCCATCTTTTAAGGAGTTTGGGCACACATGAACACATATGCACGTAGCATACTTTTCAAGCTGTTAGGGCCAGAATATGAACCGCACCATCAGCCATCTTGGATCCAGCTCCCTTAAACAACAGGCCACAGGACTGACCCAACACATTACTTTAAAATAAGAGATGGTGGGGTCAGCAGATGGCATAGACTCCCATATGGCTGACTACAAGTCGAGTCTCAGACCCAGTGCTTTGAAAATTACAGTGGGCACAGGTGTATACATGCCCAAGATCCCAGCAGAAGAATAGAGAAGGAATTATGGGATTATGGGCCATCTCTTCCTGCGAGTGATTTTTCTCTCTCTCCAGTAAGAATATGCGCCCTATGGCAAAAACCTCTTCAGAAAAATAAAAAAGAGAGAGAGATTGCAGATTACAAAAAAGGCAGCCTGTGGGAATAAGAAAAGTAAGAGTTAACTATATATTATGTATAAGAAATACTTGTACTGAGACCAGCAGTTAGTGTAATGGCTATGTCCCTGGACTCCAATGTAGTCAACCACGGTTTGAGTCCCGGACCTGGTGGCTTAAAACTCATGCCAGGCGCATGTGTGCGCGTGCTCAAGATGCCGAGAGGAGAATGGAGGAGAAGAGATTGTGGTGTGACCATCCCCGCTGGGGGATGATTTCTTGCTTTCTGTCTCTCTCTCTCTGTCTTTCTGACGAGCACACGTTCCCTATGGCAAAAACCTCTTTTGAAAAAAAAAGAAATACTTGTCCTCCTGGGCCCAGCAGGTTACATATTGGTTATGTCACAGTATTCCCACATAGGTGACTATAGTTCAAGTCCCGGACATGGTGGCTTAAAACTCACACTGGGTACATGTGTATGTGTGCCCAAGATCCTGAAAGGAGAATGGAAGACAATGGACTGCACAGCCGGGGCAGGGGTGGTGGTGGTGGTGGTGGTGATTTCTTGCTTTCTGTCTGTCTCTCTGGTGAACACATGCTTCTTATAGCAAAAATCTCTCAAAAAAAAAAAAAAAAAAAAGAAGGAAAGAAAAATTTGTACTCCACATAAAGATAATATAAAAATATAAAAATGGAAAAATATATCATGACATCAATTATAAGAAATCTTAAGTTACTCAATTACTATCTGACGTAGACTTTAAGACAAGACATATCAACAAAGCTCGAGGGAATATTTCATAATGCTAAGAAAAGGAATCAATTCATCAGGAAAACACAGCAATATCAAATGTGTAGGTGATAACGGAGGTTCAAATGCTTAAAGCAAAAACTTTACAGAACTAAAAAGCAGCATAAACATTCATAATATGTTGGATGATTTCAACACACATCATTCATAAAATCATGGAACAATTAAATAGAAAAGCAATAATGATACAAAAGTCTTAATACAATCAACCACCATGACTTGTTATTGAAAGACACTATATCCAATAAGAGAACACATACTCCTTTAAAGTACATGTGAAATATTTACCATACACTAGACCATAAAAAAAGTCTTAAAAGTTTAAAAGACTAAGATCATATGGATTATATCTTATAATGGATGTGATTAAATATCAATGAAAATGATGATGATGATGACAATAGCTACTTGGAAAATCCATTATCATAATAAAGGAGCACACTTTCACATAACCTGTGAATCAAAAAAGAAATCCCAAGGAAAACTTGAGATGCATATGCATGTGTAGCCAGCATATTTTTCAAGACCATGAGCCATACTGGATCTGAATCCCTTAACCACTAGGCTACGATGTAGGTCTGTAATCTGCATTTTATTACACCTTATAATTTAGCAGATATTCATGTAGTTGAACATAAGCCATAATTTATATTTTTCATAGGTAAAATGTCACTAGAAAAAAAGTATTAGTTGACAGACAATGTTTTCTAAAACAAGTCTCTTTCTACTCAAATTTGCAAGCTATTTCAACAGAGATTTTTATTAAATTACTTTTTAATATTTAACTGATTAACCAAACATCTAAATATAGTAACATGGTGTTTTCAAAGTCTACTTTTAAGAAAATGGTAGATATGTCTAGAAATTTTAGCTGAAGAAATAACAAAAATGGAAAGTGATGGGACCAGCAGTTAACGTAATGGCTATGTCACTGGACTCCCACGTAGTCAAACGTGGTTCGAGTCCCGGACCTGGTGGCTTAAAACTCACACTGGGCGCGTGTGCGTGCGTGCCCAAGATCCTGAGAGGAGAATGGAGGAGAAGGGATTGTGGCGTGGCCATCCTCCCTGGGAGGTGATTTCTCGCTTTCTGTCTCTCTTTCTCTCTCTGTCTGGTGAGCGCATGTGCCCTATGGCAAAAACCTCTCAAAAAAAAAAAAAAAAAAGGAAAGTGATATAACTTAAACTTTATTCACTTATCAGGGTTTGGTTTTGTTTTGAAGAGATTTTTCCTATAGGGTGTGTGCCCTAACCAGAGAGAGAGAAAAAAAGAGACACAGAAAGCAGGAAATCACTCCCTGGGGGGATGACCATGCCACAATCTTTTGTCCTTCAATTCTCCTCTTGGGATCTTAGGCATGCACGTACACGTGCCCAGCCTGAGTTTTAAAGCTAGGTCTGAGATTTGAACCATGGGTGACCACATGGAAGTCCAGCAACATAACCATTATGTCATTTGCTGGTCCCTCCTATATCAGTTTTAAATAAAAGAAAATGTGTTCCTACAATACTGTTTAATTTGTTTATTCTATTATTAATAACATGATATACTGTGCCCTCAGATGATAAAAGAGAAACAAACAAAGTATAGTTAATTAAAAGCCAGGAGAGTTAGGTAAGTTAAAAAATAACCAGTCTGTCTTTTTATAGTATCTTGATATTTACAATTAGATTTTTTTGCCAACATATATTCCCAGATACTTCCTTTCCTCTAAATTAACACTTAATAATCTTTCTAAAACATAGGTCTTTCAAGCACTTGGTGACAGGCCTGGCCCTTCATTCCTTTCTAAAGTACATAGTTTCAGAACACATAAAAAAAACCAAAACTTTCTGAAACCCATTTTGTCAGAGTCTTAGAAATAGGGTCATTGGACCAGAAGTTAGTGTAATGGCTATGTCACTGGACTCCCATGTAGTTGACCGCAATTCGTGTCCAGGACCCAGTGGCTTAAAACTCACGCGGGGCGCGTTTGCGTGCGTGCCCAAGATCCCAAGAGGAGAACGGAGGAGAAGGGATTGCGGCGTGGCCGTCCCCTCTGTGGGGGTGATTTCTCGCTTTCTGTCTCTCTGTCTTTCTCTGTCTGTTTGGTGAGCGCATGAACCCTATAGCAAAAACCTCTTAAAAAAAAAGAAATAGGGTCATTCAAACTTTTATTTATTGCTACATTTTTATATTTATCAGTCTCAGAAATCAGTATATAATAAGAATTTTACTCCTGCTCAGTAGATATCATAAAAGATTTTTTTTATTCAACTTAATCACAACTTGTAAGTAGATATGTAGATTAATAAAGATAAAGGTACAGGTAGTATTATGTATAAAAAATGAGCAACCATTGATCCACTGTTGGTCTGACTACGTGTAAGGTTGAATGTTTTAAAATTTCTGTTTGTTGACTGAGAGAGAGAGAGAGAGAGAGAGAGTGTCAGTGAGACAGAGAGATAGACAGCCCTGACAAGGTCTTATAACACTGTATTCCTCCCTCCCCAGTCTCCCAGCTATCCAGGACCACATGTACACAGTCATGCCTGGCATGCTCAAGTTAGTCCAGGAACTGAATTCAAGCCTCCCTGGTGGCACCAGCATCATGCCAAGGCACTCTATAGGTTGTGCCACTGTGGTCCAGTCTCAACCTTTTAATTTATGTAACTTACCTTAACAAAATCTCTATCGGTCTTCTCTTTCCATTCTTCTCCAAATACAGTAGAAAAGGATCCTAACGCTAAAAGCATAAACAGTACATTTAGTAAAATCCAACTGATTCTTTCATTTAATTCCTTAATATTACATAAGCTTAGAAAAACAATAAAACTGCATTTTAATGTCCTGTTTGCTAAAAAATTGTTTTATGGTAAATGATAGAAAGCCATGATAATCCTTTTTTAGAAAAACATTGTTTTAATAAAATTTTAAAAAATTTTCTGTTCCTATAAATTAAAAATTCATGACTCATTTTCATAATAGTTCTATAGACAATAAAAAAAATGAAGAATACTATAACAGTTATTTGGTTTCATTGGTACAGAAGGAAAATATTAAAAAGTTCAACTGATGCTATTGTTATTTAATTGCTTGATAATTATCATTTAAATATTCATAATAATTTCAGAAATAATTATATAATCTATAGTTCCAAAAATATACAGCAAGACAGTCTGTGGAAATACCTACAAATAAAATCAAGGAAAATTCTCAAGCCTGCTATTTGTGTTTCTTTTTTCAATTGACATGTAACAACTATACACATTTATGAGGTACAATATAATGTCTCGTTACAAGAAGGTTTATGTTTCTTGAGGTTTCAACAACTATGACTTCTTAAAGTCAAACAATTCATTTTCAAAGGCAAAACAAAACTCTCTCTTACCCTCACTTCTTCAGAAAAAAAGCTAAGGCACAAAAGAACACGTTACATCACTTTTTTCTCCTGTATGCAGTTAGTTCCGATTGTTAAGTTGCGGAACCATACTATAAAACATTGTGATACTAATGCCTAAACTGTGACAAAATATGTATTCCCCCTTTAAAATTAGGTTAAGTCCTTCATCAACTATCAGATTAATTGTGTAATGAAAACTATTGCTTTGAAAAGCAAAAAGAAAACAAGATAGTAATAATTGTTAACAGAAAAAGCTGGGTTTTATGAATGGTAATTAAAAATAATTAAGCCATCATCTTGGCTATGTCATGACAAGTCTAATGAGTGGGTATGTTTTACATTATAAATGATTTATGAAATCTGTATTATTACTCCTATAAATATGGACTTAATATTTATGTAATATTGAATAAAATAAGTTTGTATTTAGGTTAGAATAAGAACTCTCATTGAAAAAACATTAAAAAAGGGTGATGAATAAAAACATTTATTTATTTATTTATTTATTTTTAATAGAGATTTTTGCTATAAAGTGTGTGTGCTGGCTAGAGAGACAGAAAGCAAGAAATCACTCCCCTGGGGGGGAGTGTGGTGGTGGACATGCCACAATCCCTTCTCCTCTATTCCCCTCTCAGGATTTTGGGCACGCATTCACACGCGCCAAGTGTGAATTTTCAGCCACTGAGTCCAGGATTTGAACCACGGTTGACTATCTGGGAATCCAGCGTCATAACCATTACACCACCTGCTAGTCCCAAAAACATTTTAAACTTAAATTATATTTCTTAATGATTTTAATTCTGCTATTAGGATTGTAAGGAAAAATATAAAAGCAGACATAAAAGTTTTTAATAATGAACTAAACTGACCTAAGAAAAAATTCATAAAATACCAAACCTCCAGATAAATAGCAGCTTAGTTGAAAAAATGAAGTCCAAACACCGCAAAGACAAATTTTGTTTGTCCTGAAGAAAACCTTACTAAAAAATGTTACTGAGGGACCAGCTAGGTGGCATAGTGGTTAAGAGGGTTGGATCCCACAAGGCTAACTGCAAGGTTTGAGTCCTAGACTGGCAGCTTTAAAAACAAACTGGGTGGGGACCAGCAGATGGCATAGCAGTTAAGTCACTAAACTCCTACAAGACTGACTGCAGTTGGAGTCCCGGACCTGATAACTTGAAAATCATACCAGGCACCAATGTGTGTGTGCTCAAGAACCCAGGAGGAGAATGGAGAAGGGACTACAGCATAGCCATACACCCGGGGAGTTATTTCTCACTTTCCTTCTATCTCTGTCTCTCTCACTGGTGAGCACACATGCCCTAAGGTAAAAACCACTTAAAAAAAAAATACTGGGTATTGAGGTCAGCAGGTAGAAAAGTGGTTAAGGCACTGGGCTCCCATGTGGCCAACTGTGGTTCAAGTCCTGGATCCAGTGACTGGAAACTTATGCTGGCATGTGTGCATGTGTGACCAAAATCCCAAGAAGAGAATGGAAGAGAAGGGATTGCAGCAGGGCTGTCACCCCTGTGTGTGTGTGGGGGGGGAGTGGGTGGGGGGGAATGATTTCTCACTTTCTGCCTCTCCATCTTGTCAACAATCACGTGTCCTATAGCAAAAATCTCTAAAACAAAAAACAAACACATGCACATTTGGTGTGCATATAAGCATGCCCAAATCCTGAGAGGGGATAGAGGACAAGGGATTGTGGTGTGGATATTCACCCCTTTCGGTCTCTCCAGCAAAGCACATGCACTCATAGCAAAGCTTAAAAAAGAAAGAAGTTAACTTGGAAAAGAATGCTGTATAAAAATATAAGAAAAGTTTTTTTATGGCATAGCATTTTTATTGTACTTATTCAAAAACAAAAAATGTGTAAATATTCCACACTTTTAAAATAAGTTGCATCAACACTTATCTCTCAATTAAAATCTCATGCCCCAGATGGCATGAAGATTAAGGCAGCCTGATCCTACATAGCAGTCTGAGTCAAATCCCAGCAGCTTAAAAATCATGCTGGGCACATGTTGGTGTGTGCCCAAAATTCCAAAGAGGAAAAGGGACTGTAGTGTGACCATCCTCCTTGGGAGCTGTGATTCCTCATTCTCCTCCTATGTATGTCTCTGTCTCTGGCAAGCACATGTACCCTATAGCAAGCTTAAAAAAAAAAAAAAGGAAAGAAAGAAAGAAAGATCCCACTCGAAAGCCTAACCAAATCAAATATATCTATAATCCTCAAATTTCAAAGAGAATTGTTTTCATAATGTACAAAGTTATGTTCTAAGTATAGGGTCTTCATAAAGTTACTATATACTCTGGAACTCTAAACTTCCTAGGATTCTTGGAGTAATAAAAATATTCCTTAATAATGTGCTAAATTATTAATGTTTAAATTGCTACACTGTGTTAATTATTTAGTCTTGTAGACAAGATGCCTAAAGACGTCTGACGATAAACTGGATCTAAAGAATGTTGTGCCCTACTGCACTCAAACTGAGAAGATCACTTTTCCTCAATATAAGCTATTTCTGAGTAATTCTATTCAATGTTCAAATGGTAGAACGTCACTGTTCTTGTTTGAGAATGTGTGTGTATGTACACGTATATATTCTAAACATGAAATAATTTCAAATTCCTTAAATGATGAAACTTGTATTTAAAAGACTGAAATAGAATATCAGGAATCAAAGAACATGAAAGTGAGAAAGAAATCCAACAAATGCACATCTTAAGTAATGACAGAAATGGAGAAATAACAATCTTCCTTCCCTATGTAACCAAGCATAGTATATTTCAGACAGGGTAGGAAGAAACTAATTTTCACTTTTGTTTAAACCATTTTCAAAAATGTTTCACATCAAGTCAATACATGGCAAATACCAAGGAATCCTACTTAGATAATCCCAAATAAAACTGAAAAGTACACTATTTAACCCAAATCAAACTGTAAAAAACTAAACTCATATGCAAAATTATCCTATCTAAAAATAGTCACAAAAATCTGTAAAGTATTATAACAAATTCTTTCATAGACTGTGCGTACTTTGCTATATAGAAAGTTTCCTACATGATAAGAGAATTTCAATGTATGTCAATATTTTATACTTTAAAAAATATATTTGTCAAACGGTTACACTGGGATTAGAGTGGAGGAGGATTGAAAAGCAGGAAACAATTTTATATTAATAATATCCAATTTTAAAAGAAACACTATAAGTAGGAAAAGATTCCAAAATATATTTTGTAAATCTCTATTCAATTACAATTATAAACTGAGCAATTTGGCCTGCAGTAACCTAGGCTTGCTAAGAAATAATTTCCTCAAAAAGGAAAAACTCGGGCTGACAGGTGGGCTGACTGAGGCTGGCAGGTGACTGTCTCATCAGGTGGTTAACGGCGTTGGACTCTCACATGGCTAACCATGGTTCAAATTCTGAACTTGGTGGCTTGCTTTCTCTTCCCTCTCTCTCGCTCTGTCCTTCTATGGTCATATTAAAATAAATAAATGAATGAATGAAGTTAAATAAAATAATTCTTTTTAACAAACAAATGTTAGCAGTAAAAAGGACATGAATTAATTGATAAACCTTTTACGTTGATTATTTTGTAATAAATTTCCAAATACACTGACCTAAAATGTTTATTTTATTTAAAAATTACAGCCACATACTAGCAGAAACAGAACTCAAAAACATTTTCTTCTAGGACCCAAAATCTTTTATCAGAATTTTAACAACCAATCTTCTCAGTTCAGAAAACTCGTAAGAGAAATCTTTAAAAGTCCTGAAAAATGAACATTATAGGAAAATGATACATGCATTTCCAATTTCTCTGCCCCCAAATAAATAAACTCATACTTTAGTTCCATCTTTCTGCAAGCATTTTGAAATACCCTCATTTTAGTCCAGGAACAACGGCTGAAATTCACTTCAGAAGTTCTAATGATACTAAATTGCTATTCAAATATTTATGAGTAAAAACCTTAAGTATTCATTATCTTAATCAGTGTATTTAACAAAAGAAAATAATGTTGTTATATGGACAAATAAAAAGTACTTTTCACCTTAAAAACCTTTCAAAAGATCTCTGACACCTTTAAAGAATAATCATACAGTATTTTCAGCTTAAAACTTACTGTCATCAAACACCCCGGCATTAGCAAGTAATAAAGTGATGATTTTAGGGTCTTTTTCAAGTTGCATGACATGCTTGCTTTCATTTGATAGAAGAGTGCATACATTAATAGCAAAGTCCACTTCATTTGGGAGTCCAGATAACAGTGAAAGCACCAATTTATTATAATCATTTGGCGAATTAAAGTCCATAGATAGCCCATAACTTTGACGCAGATAATCTAACAAAGAAACAAAAACAGAAACACTGTAAATGTATCAAGGATTGGATATCCTTATGATTAATATTTTCTGTATGCAATATAGAGCTTTCTCATTCAATAAAATATAAACTGATTAGAAGTTAAAAGTGCCCAACTTTCTAAATTCTTAGGCTAACTACTGAAACTAATTTCTTGAAAATGTATTAAAATACAAAAAAGTACATAACCTCTTAGACATCATTCTCAAAATATTAATATTACTCTATCATTATTTAATTAACCTAATTTACACATTTTACTCTTGCATATAAAAGGACTTGTTCTGATTTACTGCAATGTAATTAACATGGTAAAAGCCATGCTTTTTAGTTCTCAATTGTATGACTTTCGACAAATGTGTACAGTCTTTTAACCAAAACCACCAGTCAAGATATGGAGTATTTCCACTGTCTAAAAAAGTTTCTTATGCTCCTTTATAGTCAACTGTAACCCACATCCCTAGGTATCACTGATCTAATTTCTGTTCCTATAGCTTTGTTATATTCCAAGATCTCAAGTAAGTATAATCACACTGTGTAGCATTTTGTATCAGGTTTCTTCCATTTAGTAAAATGCTCCTGAAATTCCTATCTCTGTTAATACAGTGTGTTGGTTGTCCAATCCTGGCAGTGGGAAGGTGGATGGTCTCACCCACAGTCTCACCTGCCTCCACCTCCCGAGTAGCTGGGACCACAAATGGTAGCACTACTTTTAGCTCTTTTAGACAGGGTCTCATTATGTTGTCTACTTTGGCCCTGAGCTCATGAACCTCCTGCCTCAGTCTCCCAAATTGAGATTACAGGCACACCACAGAGCCCAGAGTTTGTTTTGTTTTCTGTTGGTTTTAGTTTGCTATAGGGTATATATGCTCACCAGAGACAAAGAGAGACAGACAGAGAGAGAGGGAAAATGAGAAATTACTCCCCCCGCCCCTGAGAGGGGATGTGATCCCTTCTCCATTCTCTTCTCAGGATTTTGGGAAAGCATGCAAATGTAGTCAGCGTGATTTTCAAGCTGGTTGGCCCAAGACTCAAATCACGTTGTCAGGCATGTGGGATCCAGCCATCTTAACCTTTGCACTACCTACTGGCCTATGTGCTTTTTTTTTTTTTGGAGAGATTTTCACTATAGGGCGTGTGCGCTCGCCAGACAGACAGAGAGAGACAGAGAGACAGAAAGCGAGAAATCACCCCAGAGGGGATGGCCATGCTGCAATCCCTTCTCCTCCATTCTCCTCTCGGGATCTTGGGCATGCATGCACCCGCGCCCGGCGTGAGTTTTAAGCCACCGGGTCCGGGACGCGAACCACGGTCGACTACGTGGGAGTCCAGCGACATAGCCATTACGCTAACTGCTGGTTCTCCCCCCCCTTTTTTTCTAAAGGGTGGACCAGAAATAAAATTTTGGTCTCCCACATGCCCACGGCATGCCAGTAGTGGCCAGGCGGTGCAACCATGGCTGGGTCTAGGCATTCCTTTTTAAACACACTCGAGGGATATTTTGATGTTTCTTGTTTTTGATACTTACAAATATAGCTGCTATAAACATTCACATGACAGACTTTGAGAGAACATATTATTTTATATCTCTTAGCTAAATACCCAGAAATGAGATTGCTAGGTCATAAAGAAGTGTATGGCTAACTTTATATGACATTATTAAACAGTTTTCTTATGTAACTGTAGCATCTTGCTTTTCTATCAGCAATCCACAGAATCCCTGTTGCTCCCCAACCTTGTAAACACTTAATATTGTCAGTTTTCAGTATTTTATTTTTTGGAGAGGTATTTGCTATAGGGAGTGTGTGCTCGCTAGAAAGACAGAGAGAGAGAGAGAGAGAGATAGAAAGTGAGAAATCACCCCCAAGAGGGGATGGCCATGTCACAATCCCTTCTCCTACATTTTCCTCTCTGGATCTTGGGCACCCACGCACATGCACCCGGAATGAATTTAAGCCACCAGGTCCAGGACTCAAACTGCAGTTGACTACAGGAGAGTCCAATGACATAGCCCCAAGTTTTAAGTGTTTTAAATATGAGTCATTTATCTAACGTTTGTGTTACAAATATTTTGTCCCACTTCATGGCTTACAGTTTCATTTTCTTAAGTATCTTCTATGAGAAACTTTAATTTTGAGAAGGTCAAGTTTATACATCTTTACTTTTATGGTTTATGGTCTTTTGTCCTAAGAAGTTTTTGCCAGAACAGTCTCAGTACAAAGCACTGGATGTCTCTGATTAACAGGCTAAGGACATAGAAGCCCTGGCTGGGTTCAATTCTCGACCCATCCTAATTAACAACAACAAAAAACAAAGTGCAGTGGCCTACCTGTAATCCCAGCTACTCTGGAGGAGGAAGCAGGAAGACTTGCAAGCTTACTGCCACTGCAGGCAACATAGTGAAACCATTTCTGAAAGACCCAGGTTTAGAAGCTCATGCCAGTAGTCCCAGCCACTCAGGACACTGAGGCAGGAGGATTCTAAAATAGGAAGGCCCAGCCTAAAACACAACATACACAGGTACACACACACACACACACATACACACACACACACTTGCCTAAACCACAGTAACTAAGATTACTTTTTTGGTAAGAGAATCCATTTAAAACATTTATAAAACTTTTGGAGTAGGGGAGATGGTTTACAGAACACGAATATACTTTACAATCATAATATATACACATAAGAATGTCATCTTTAGCGCCAATAGTGGTGTAATGGCTGGGGCACAGGACTCACACATGGTCAACCACAGTTTGAGTCCTGAACCTAGCAGTCGGTTCCCTCTCTCTCTCTCTCTCTCTCTCGGCAGTGCATGTGCCTATAGCAAATGGAGAAAAATAAACATAATAATTAAAAAATTTTAAAAATCCTCTACAGTGTTAAAAAAAAAGAAAGAGAAAGAAAAAAGAATGTAATCTTATCTGAGGCAGTTAAGGGGCCAGCAGGTGATGTGGTGGTTAAGGTGCAGAAGGCCCACAAGGCCAACTGCAGTTCTAGTCTAGAACCAGAGGCTTGAAAATCATACTGGGCACATGTGCATGTGTGTCCAAAATCCCAGGAGGAGAATGGATAAGAAGAGGCTGCAGGATAGCCATCCGCCCTGGGGAGTGATTTCTCACTTACCCTCTGCCTGTCTGTGTGTGTGTCTCTCTCTCTTTCTCTTTCTTTCTTTCTGGTGAGTACACATGCCCTATGGCAAAAATATTTAAAACTAAAAAAAGCCATGGTAGATATGCCCTAACACAAATACCCCAAGGGCATTTTTCAAATAAGCTGAAGAACATAAGAGTTTGAAAACATCTACATGAAACATTTCAGAATCACTGAAAAATATCTGGATTTTTAAGAAAATATTGCTCTAAATGGAATGCAAGTAGAAATTGATTGTCACAACACACCATAGAATAAAATTATGTACATTAAGAATTTTTTCATTTCCCAATGTAGACACCTCTTCAATTCTAAAATATTCTAGAAATGTCTCCAATAACATAATAGTGAAAAAGTGCCATATAAATGACTATGACACAGATTCTTTACACTATTTAAGTTTCAATGAGAATAAAATTAATTTTTAGAACAATGATAAATGAAATTTCTCAAAAACAACCTAAGATAAATATCTGGAAAAAGGCACATAGGCTGCTATTTCTATATTATAAGCTGATATTGATGATGGGAAGGCAAGTCTCAACAATAGTTAATAGAAGTTTTTAGATTTTTACGTAGATTTCAGGCAATTCGCTAGAAAAGAAAAAACTTATTTATAGAACCTACATTCCATGTCCATCATAGTCCTCAAGATTTTGCGCTTTCAATATGGTCTTAAAATTATTATATTTGCTACTGAAAAATGGCAGATACTTAATTCAATACATTCTTATTTGACTGACGGTCAAAGACATTTTCAATAGAATAAAATAAATAAATGTAATAAATGCATAAGGTCTATTGCAATATCAAGCTTGGTAAAGATTCCCAAAATAATGTGATTTTAAGATCATCCCTTCCCTTAGGAGATACAGTCAAACAGCCACAATTTTCTAATCAGAATGCAATTAGGAATTTGTTTTAAACATTCTTGATTCAAAGTTTATACAAGTGAATCACTGCTGATAACATTAATCTGAGGCAATCATTTCTCTTTTTCAGTTTAAAGAAAAGGGAAAATTGGGGCTGGCAGGTAGTGTGGTGGTTAACAGTGCTGGACTCCCACATGGCCAACCCCACTTCAAGTCCCAAGCCTGGTGGCTTGCTATCTCACTTTCCCTCTCTCTTTTGCTCTCTTGCTCTGTCCCTCTCTGGTCAAAATTAAAATATTAAATAAATAAAGGTAAATAATTCTTTTATTTTTAATGTTTCTTTCTTCTTTCCTTTTTTTGGAGGTTTTTGCTATAGGGTGCATATGCTCACCAGAAAGACAGAGAGAGAGAATCATCCCCCAGGGGGACAGCCATGCCATGATCCTTTCTCCTCCTTGGGATCTTTGGCATGCACGCACACACACTCGGTGTGAGTTTAAGCAACCAGGTCCGGGATTCAAACTGCAGTCGACTACATGGGAGTCCAGCGACATAGCCATTTCGCCAACTGCTGGTCCCTAAATTTAAAGTCACTGGGGCAAGGGCCAGGCCCATACCCTAGTAGTTAAAGATGCTAAATCCCACATGGCTGACCACAGTTCAACTCCCAACCCCTATAGCTTAAAAGACATGTCAGGCATATATGTGTGTGTGCCCCAAGTCCTAACAGGATTAAGAAGTGGAGGAAAAAGGACTGCAGTGTGACCATTTACAAACAAAAACAGGGGACCAGCAGGTGTGGTGGCAGAGGTGCTGGTCAACCTCAGTTGGAGTCCCGGACCTGGCAGTTTGATAATTACACCAGATGTGAGAGCATGCCTATCTAAAATACCAGGAAGAGAAGAGACTGCAGCATGGCCATCCCCCGGGAGGTGATTTTTCACTTTCTCTGTCTATCTCTGGTGACCACACATGCACTACTGCAAAAACCTTAAAAACAAAACAAAACAAGAACAACAACAAAGCTCTGCTGTTACTGCAACAGAAAGAACTCACATAGAATTATCAAGTTGAAAATGATCTTAAAGATCATGAGTACAGTATCTCAGTCAACATGGGAAAACCCTATATTACATCTTTGAATTAGATAATCATTAGCTCTTTTTAGGAATAGGGTGCATATCATTTAACAAGCTGCTTTTTTATTTTATCAGCTTAAACTAAGCAACATGACTTACAATATTCTTCTTTAACCTTGTTTCTTGCAGTAATCACTACTCTAACAACAAAGCTAGGTTTGGTTTGCAGTCCCTGCTCTACTCTCTTACAGTTATACAGAAGTATCAGATAAAGCCTCTTCTAACAGAGATCATAGATTGGAAGGGGTCATTCTGTTTCTTCAGTCAATACTGATTGGGGAAGCAATATGGAGTCAAATTCAACATTAAAGAAACTCTGAAAATTGATAATGTAAAAATAAAACAAACAACACTGAAACTGGCACAAATGAAACAGCTTAAATCTAAGGACAAAGTATATGATATGCACTAGTACCGATGAATAATACCAAAAATAAATATTTAGAATTATAATGTTTATAAAGAACATACCTTAAAAAAGAAATCTCCTCCTTTTTTAGGCCAAATGTTGCTGATTGAAGAAATAGAGATGCGTATCTCCTTAGAGGGCTATCTTCCTAGTCTTCACAGTCCCAACCCACAGAGCCACTGAAAACCGAAACACCCATCTACTCTACTCAAGAAGCTCTTTAACAGACTGTCAATGATTATTTCCAATTTGAGTCTAACTCTTTTTAGTAGAATAAACTTCTATAATCATTAGAAGAATGACTTAAATTAAAAAAAATATCTTCCTGTACTATGGCAGGAAAATAGAATAATTAGGAACACTTCTGAGAATTCTGTTGCCTGGAATTCTGATAATTGTAGAAAATCTAGTACACTCTACATGAAAATTCTTGGCTTCCCTAAACCTAAACAGGAGGGTTGTCCTCTTCTTGTTTTAGTGACTACTCAGAACAATCAAAAAAATAAGGAAAAATATTTGCTTGAAAGTATAGGTACATGTAATTCTAAAACTTCCTGCAACTATAATTCTTAAGTAGTCTGTGATATAAAGGGCTGTGATACCAATTAGATGTCACTCTTTGCAAGACACACTACTACAGGACTTAAGTGTTCTCATGAGCACAGTAAGGGACTGATTCATTCGATACCTATTTTCCAAATAAAAAACTCTGGACTTATGCTCTTTTAATTTCAAGTGATATTTACCTGACACACTGTGTTGCTGGTAATTGTAGGAAGATGGAATTGCACCAATAGGAAGCTGTGGCTTTGGATTGCCTGGTGGTACCTCATCATCATCCTCCCCAAAATGATGAACTTTCTCGTACTTTTCTAGGTAACTGAAATAGAAAACAACAGAGTAAAGATCTTAAAATAGATTTATGTCTTACTTTTTAAACTCCTACTACATGTATCATTTCTTCTTCTAAATGCCTCCAAATAAAATAAAAATAAAAATATTACAATTCTCTTATCAGAGGTATTGCATGCAAATGGGGCTTAATTCAATGGTTCGAAAGAGTTTTTGTATTTTCAGAAAGGATCATACACTACTCAAATAAAAATTTAAGTAGAGAACATCAAAAGGCAACTACATGTAGATGAATAGCAGTACATTTTACTCACATTTTTTTTTTTTTTAGGTTATTACATATGGACTTTGTAAAAACCATGTAGCCTCAACCATGGTGGCACAGGCAGTTGGGGTACTGCTACATGATGCAGGAGGCCATGTGGGAAGGCTTTTGCATCACATCCTCAGTCTATCTGAAATGCTGGGTGTGTCTGTAATTCTGGCTAGCTGCAGGGGTGGGAGGAGGATCATGGTACGAAGACCCTGTCTAGGATAATTTTAGAGATCTAAGCATAATACACACTGTATACACTATACTACCTCATTCTTTCTAAATACTTTATAATGTTCGACCTTATTGATATATAATCATTATGGTTCACTAATAATAATAACTAGGTCTCCTGTCATACATCTAGGCTATTTTCAGTTTTGTTTTTACTATCATAAATCATACTACAGTAAGCTCAATCTGTATACTTGTTTGAATATTTTCTCTGGGTAGACACTGGAAATGGTAGTCTTATTTTAAACAGCAATATGGCCAAATTCAAATACCAAAGTAGTATGCCTAATTTATAAGACAGTTCCTATATCCCCCACTGTATCACTATGAGTGGGTATGGTCATTTTAAAAAATACTAATTCGAATTAACTTGCCTAGTTCATAGTCTCTTTCACCTACCACTTTACAATGAGATTGACAAGTAAGATTTTAAAATAGGGAAGCAAATGGCCAAATAGTGTTAAACATGATATTGTATTCTTAGATACTTATCACTATACTTCATAATAGGAAGTTAAACTGCTTTAATATAAGTACTTCCATTTACCATAGAAAGTTCTACAAGTTTATTTTACAGTGATCAATACTCCTACCAGTCCTGATCTAGGTGAGAGGTAAGTCCATTAGCAGCTATTTTAAAAGCTCCACAGCTTCCAACATTCAGCTGAAATGAAGGACGTGATGTGTCAATGATCTCAGAAGTATTAATTATTTTGTTTTTAGTACCAAATCTTAATTTTCAAGGTGGGATAAATGGAAACTATAATATTACAAATATCATAACTATCAACATAGAAAATCATTACCATTCTACATTTTCACCTTCCAGCTTTTTAAAAAAAGATTTATTTACTTACATCCATTTGTTATTATTATTATTATTTTTATTTTTAATTTGACCAGAGAGAGAGGGGGAAGGCAAAAAAGCAAACTACCAGGCCCAGGACTCAAACTATGGTCAACCATGTAGCGAAAGAGTTTTTGTATTTTCAGAAAGGATCATACACTACTCAAATAAAAATTTAAGTAGAGAACATCAAAAGGCAACTACATGTAGATGAATAGCAGTACATTTTACTCACATTTTTTTTTTTTTTAGGTTATTACATATGGACTTTGTAAAAACCATGTAGCCTCAACCATGGTGGCACAGGCAGTTGGGGTACTGCTACATGATGCAGGAGGCCATGTGGGAAGGCTTTTGCATCACATCCTCAGTCTATCTGAAATGCTGGGTGTGTCTGTAATTCTGGCTAGCTGCAGGGGTGGGAGGAGGATCATGGTACGAAGACCCTGTCTAGGATAATTTTAGAGATCTAAGCATAATACACACTGTATACACTATACTACCTCATTCTTTCTAAATACTTTATAATGTTCGACCTTATTGATATATAATCATTATGGTTCACTAATAATAATAACTAGGTCTCCTGTCATACATCTAGGCTATTTTCAGTTTTGTTTTTACTATCATAAATCATACTACAGTAAGCTCAATCTGTATACTTGTTTGAATATTTTCTCTGGGTAGACACTGGAAATGGTAGTCTTATTTTAAACAGCAATATGGCCAAATTCAAATACCAAAGTAGTATGCCTAATTTATAAGACAGTTCCTATATCCCCCACTGTATCACTATGAGTGGGTATGGTCATTTTAAAAAATACTAATTCGAATTAACTTGCCTAGTTCATAGTCTCTTTCACCTACCACTTTACAATGAGATTGACAAGTAAGATTTTAAAATAGGGAAGCAAATGGCCAAATAGTGTTAAACATGATATTGTATTCTTAGATACTTATCACTATACTTCATAATAGGAAGTTAAACTGCTTTAATATAAGTACTTCCATTTACCATAGAAAGTTCTACAAGTTTATTTTACAGTGATCAATACTCCTACCAGTCCTGATCTAGGTGAGAGGTAAGTCCATTAGCAGCTATTTTAAAAGCTCCACAGCTTCCAACATTCAGCTGAAATGAAGGACGTGATGTGTCAATGATCTCAGAAGTATTAATTATTTTGTTTTTAGTACCAAATCTTAATTTTCAAGGTGGGATAAATGGAAACTATAATATTACAAATATCATAACTATCAACATAGAAAATCATTACCATTCTACATTTTCACCTTCCAGCTTTTTAAAAAAAGATTTATTTACTTACATCCATTTGTTATTATTATTATTATTTTTATTTTTAATTTGACCAGAGAGAGAGGGGGAAGGCAAAAAAGCAAACTACCAGGCCCAGGACTCAAACTATGGTCAACCATGTAGGAGTCCAGCACCTAAATCACCACACCACCTGATAGCCCCCTCACCTTCCAGCTTCACAAAGCATAATAATACACATTCTTGAATCTGAAAAGGAAATAAACAGTCCCTTCCTATTCCTTCTAAGCTCCATTTGAGCAGAGAATTCTTTCCAAGCAGCTAGCTGAACAGCTTATGAATCCAACACTTTTCTTTACTAATTCAGATATAACATATAAAAACAGAGACATATGCACAAATGCAACCCTTAAGCACTGAGGAATATAATCAGCTACACATATTTCAACTCCATCCCCTGGGATGCCCTCAGCAAACAGAAACTACAGTCTAAGAAAACAAAACAAAACAAAACAAAACAAAAAGATGAGTAAAAAATTGGGGTGGAGCAGTCTTTTGCTAGTATAAACGCACAATGAACTTAAATTATAAATGAATCGAACCTACTATTTTGGGATTGGAATACAGATATTACAGAAAGAAGAGTGTATATAAATTTAGATATAAAAAGAAAACTGGAAAAGAGTGCTCAAAATTATGTGACTTATTTTCTATAAATAAGAAATAATCTACATCACATGAAATCCCTTAGGCATAATATTGCTAGAAGTATGTGAAGACAGTACAGTCTTCATGAACTCATTGTAAAATGGTTAAAAACAGGATAAAGATAATCTTTTATAAAATAACTCTTATCAAACTATAATCAAAATAACAACAAAGATTTAAAATTTTAAAATAAAAATCTTACAACTATGTAATATGTTTAAGATGTTCTTCATAAATTTGTTTGTTCATAATTAAGGACAATATATTTTAAATGCATATGTTTTTCATTATAGATGGGATAGAAAGCAACAACATTAAGAAAGAAATATCAACTTTCCCCCTCTCAGAATACCCAAAATACAAGGTGAGCAACACATGGATGGACAACAACACAATTATTATGCATTATAATAAATGATATATAAATTATATATTAATACATAAAACTTTGTAATTTAAATTTTCTTAAGATTTTAGAAAATTTTGCTTCTTTTCTTCTAGGCTTTGTTGTCCAGTTTTGAGAGTTTTTGTCCTGTCTTGAGCTGTCGATAGGTTTGAACAGAATAATAACCTGTTTCTTGGCTTTAAGTTTTAAGCAAAGTTCCTTACCATTTCAAAACTGCTTTTCTTGAAATTACCAGCTGAACTTGCTATTGAAAGTAGTTAGGTTATTTAAGAAATTGTGTGATCAATAAAATATGTGTGCGTTGGGGGGAATGGAAGACAACTGTAGACACCAGAGATAGTGTGAGAAGAGGGTGGGAAAGGGTAGAGTCAGCATAGGGGTAAATATATATAAATACAAATATATATATGAAACTAGAAATGGAAAATTATTGCCGATAACACGCATGATTAAGCCACTATGCAGTATATTCTGGATGTGACCATGCTTAGGGAATGAATGTGAATTAATTAATTAAAAAAAAAGTTTTAGGAAAAAAAAAAAAACATGAAAACTTTTTCTTAAAATTAAAAAAAAATGCATTAAAAATACCTATTTGATGACTGAAGTAAAGCTATATAGCCCCAGCTAGGTGCTACTTTATAGTATGTTCATTCTACTCACTGAAGTTTATGCCTGAAGTCAGACATGTGTTCATGGATATGTTTATATTAGCTGCACTTGCTATTGAAAATATTTAGATTAATTAAGTTCTTTAGCGAATCAATAAAATGGGGCAAAAAGGCATAGAAAGTAACCATGAATACCAGAGACAGTGTGGGAAGAGGGTAGGACACGGCAGAGGGTGAGAGACAGGGAATCAAGGATGTGGAAAAAAAGCAAAATATATAAGAAAAAAGAAATGGAAAATTATTTGTTGACGGTAACATGTATGTGGATGTGCTTGATTGAGCCAATATACAGTTTATTCTGGATGGAAAATCTCAGTTTGTGTGCTGTAATGATGTACTGTGAATGAATGTAAATAAATAAATTTAAATTTAAAAATAGGACAAAAAAATTAAATTAAATTTTAAAAAAAGAACTACATGACTTCTGGCCATTCTTTTGGGTTTTTTTGGTAGATGTTTTTTCCTTAGGGCATGTGTGCTCACCATAGAGACAGAGACAGAGATACTAGAGGAAAAGTGAGAAAATCACCCCCCAGGAGGGATGGCCAGGCCACCACCCCTTCTCCATTCTCTTCC